GGCTTGACCGGGGAAGGACCACGCTTTCTCTGAAATACAGCGTAAAATAGCAGCTTAATACTGCTGTGATTCGTACGTTGATTGTACAGATCCGGAGACCTTTTTTACTGGAAATGAGGCATTACATCTTAGTCCTCAGGGTTAGAACGCATCTGCATTTGGATCGGGGATAATTCTAGATATCTATAATTATTCACTTACCAGCAGTTGAATTGTGTGCTCGTTTGTTACCCTTATAGATATTAGATATATATACAACAGGTATGAAAAAACCCCCCCCCCCCGATGTAGAAGCCTGGTATTCTCATTCCTAAACCACAAGTTTATTGACAAAAGACGACAATGCTCAATGCAGGTTAGGGTTACTAAATTAAATCCATTTAAATCATCATAAAATAACGGATCGAAACCCGAATCAACTCATTAAAGTCTCCAATAGACCGTTATCAAAAAGACTTTCAAACTTAATTAAGGACATCTTCTAATTTAATCACACGGTTAAGAAGAACGAATCTAATAGAAAATTTTAATTACCTCTACGTAGGCAAACTGAAAAATAAAGTCATAAAAGTTATGAGAGTTAAGTTGAAACTTTAGAATTAAATATGAACTTATGGATATTATGCAGTCCTTTTTGAATTTAGAGAGGTTTCTTCAATTCATTATTGTGCTTTTTGTCACGTACAGAGGTCGAGCACTCGACAAAAGTTTCAACGTTCGAAAGAAAAAAGGTAATAAATTATAATAACGCACTCGTACCTAGGCTAAGAGAGAAGCCAAGCAGCTCAGCTGCTTGGTCGGAAGGGTACAGTTGTTTTGGTCAGAAGGGTACAGAGATCCCGTATGGCTTACAGCCATCTTGATTTTCAGAGATGATATCTGTAGCTTTCTTGTTTGAAGTTATTGATGGGTGTCCACGGGCTTCGGTGGTCACTTACCATCAGGTTTTTTTTATAGAATTATTTGACAAACGCACACACACTCCACCTGACAGTAAATGGATGCTGTGGCCCATAGACATCCACATTTACCCTCAATCAAGAATCCAAAAGCAAATGCATTGTCACTCCTGAGGTCTTTAGAGTCTTTGGTTCTCTACACTAACCATAAGAAACAGAACAGCATTACGCTAATAGACCGAGGAAGGACCACGCTATCACAGAATACCAGCGTAAAATAGTAGCTATGATAAATGCTGCTATGTTTAGTATGGTGAGTGTAGAAAACCGGATACCCTTTTTACTGGAAACGGGGCATTCCATGTTGGTCCTCATGGGTGACAACGCGTCTGCATTTTGATTCATAATCGAGTATAGATGACTACGCGCCACAGCAACCACTTACCATCAGGTGGACTGTGTGCTCGTTTGTCACTCTATCCTATTAAAAAAAACTATCTGCGACAAAACTCAACTCCAATTTGAGTATAATATTAATATATTTTTTTAACTCTAACATTAAATGTCGCCATCAAAGTCGCTTTTCTTTAAAAGTTACTTATAAGACTATATCTGTAGTGTATAATAGCTTCCTTGCACACCACGTAACATCTGTAATGCATATGTTATACAGGCTCTTTTACGCTTGTACAGCTACTGTACGGCGTTAGTAACGCATAAAGCTGAATAATTTGTGCCAATTTTTGACTTATAAGAACTGTAGTACCTGGATGACCGAGCTTTGCTTGGTTTTTTTTTGAAATTACATTTAGATACAAATTACATACCGATGAAACATTAATAATAATACATTGACATAATAGAAAACTGAACTGGTTATTTGAATAAAAAATCATGAGTGCAATTAGTTTAATCAAAATTTTCGTGAAAAAAATACTAAAAAGGGCTCGAAGCAGCTCTTGTATATATATATATATATATATATATATATATATATATATATATATATAATTGCTCGTTTAAAGGTATGGGATAAGCGCTTGTACAGCCTTTATACAGTCAGTGAATGTTTAATCAAATGAGTTGATTGATAATATTATTGATAGTGCACTCTACCCATTACTTAACTTTTCACTTATTTTTATTTCCAATTTAGGTTGTCTGGAAGAAATTGCTGCATAGCAATAAGACCGCCTTTTGTTTTTCTCTTTGTTTGTTGTTTTTTTTAGTGTTCAATAAAGAGTATTGTATTGTATTGTTGATTGCCTTTATCTTGGAGTAATACCGAAACATTTAAAAGAATCAAACGCCCGGTCCCCACCCGGCTTACGTAAATTAAGGCTATTTACACGTTAAAAGCATGGATTTTTACTTATTAAAAATGGAAATCATAGAAACGCGTCCAATAATGAAGTCATCGCCTTTGAATTGTGTGCGTATGTGTGTGTGTGTGTGTGTGTGTATGTGTGTGTGTGTGTGTGTGTATGTGTGTGTGTATGTGTGTGTGTGTGTGTGTATGTGTGTGTATGTGTGTGTGTGTGTCTCTCTCTCTCTCTCTCTCTCTCTGTGTGTGTGTGTGTGTGTGTGTGTGTGTGTGCGTGTGCGTGTGCGTGTGAGTGTGCGTGTGCGTGTGTGTGTGCGTGTGCGTGTGTGCGTGTGCATGTGCGTGTGCATGTACGTGTGCGTGTGCGTGTGCGTGTGTGCGTGTGTGTGTGTGCGTGTGTGTGCGTGTGTGTGTGTGTGTGTGTGTGTGTGTGTGTGTGTGTGTGTGTGTGTGTGTGTGTGTAATTCAATTTCTCTAAGCTTGTATAAACATTTATTTTTCAACCCTTTCATGATATTCTTTTTGTAGTAATTTACTATTTCGTTCTTCAAGCTCCTTCTCACCTAGAAATCCGTGTGAGTACGTACCCTCTTACCATTTACTGCTGCTAAATAGCAGTGTTTGCGCTAAAGTAAATTAGGGTGCAAGAAGACAATCTTTTTCCTATAAAAAGGGCAAATGACATTAAAATCGCTTCTAAAATCTCAGTTACATATCGTGCCGCTGTTAGTGACCCATTCTCTATGACGTGGAGTTCCGTACGTGCCCCCATACAAATACCTTCCCATGCTATAATCGATCCTCCACCATATGCCTCTTTTCTAATAACATTGCTCTGAGCAAGTCTCTCTTTCAGGCGTCTCCACACTTTAACCTTTCCATCAACTGATTTCAAGCAAAACTCATATGTGAGTAGAATTTAATTATGTTGATTTTCGTGATTGCAAGCCAAATTAACTCAAACTACTCAATTCAATAAAGCCGATTTTAGACTTTACTTACAGTTTTTATGCTTACTGGAACCCCTGAACTTCTTGGATCTTCGTTCTTGCCTCAGGAGAAGTTAAGGTCCGGTCTCTAACTGGTCATTTCTGGTCATAGTTTTCCGTTTAAGTTTTTTTTTTTTTTTTTTTTTTTTTATAGGATAGGGTGACAAAAGAATGTAAGTGGTTCTCGCCCGTTTCTTTTCTTACTGATGGATGCCTCATTTCCAGTAAAGGCTCCGGTTCTCTAACTGGCATGTCGCACATTCCGTTTAAGTCCCTCTCATATGAGTCTCGTACACTGTTCCGTCTCTTGACATATCTGTGTACCACAGATTTTAATAGTCATAATGTTTGGGCCACATGTTAGTAGGTGTGCCCAGTTTCAATTAAAGTAACAGCCCTAGCAACTTTTGTCGCGATTAGATCTGGCATTCTTAGTTCATTTGTGGTAAAAATTTGCCAATAAACGCGATAAATAAGACGATCAAGGCAAACATTAAAAAAAAAACCTAAATTTAAGCTCTAATTGAAAAGTTGCCAAAATTTTTCGCAAGTATAAAAGAATGCAATGTTACGCTACGATTATATAAAAATAAGTGAAATGCGAAACGTAAACATTCCAAATTTTTTTTATAGCATTTACTAATGTTTGTGGCCAATATGAATGATAACTGTAACATGAGAAATTAAAGTTTTAGGTATTAAATAAAGAAACATGTGCAAAATTCAATAACTGATATGTTTGCGCAATGAATTTTGACTTTAAACGCGATTTTAAAGTTCAAAAAATCTGATCTCAAGTCTTGTTTTAAACAGTAACCAAAACATAATTGGGAATCACCGTAGCACTATGTAGAAACAGCGCTAGCGGCATTGACTCATGACGTTAAATACATTGTAGAACAGCGTGCGCTCGTTATCAATTATTTACAGTAATAAAGTCGTAAGTAGTAAAATTAATGTTTGCTAATTTGAGATGGACTCGGGTAAAAGGGGAATAACTTGTGTGCATAATGTACGTTCGTCTCAAAAAGTCCCGAGTCTGTCTCGACGAGAATAAATACCAGGGTGCTCCTATATGACAATCATTCATTCCTCGTATCCAACGAACTAAAGAATTGGAAAAGATTTTTCTGTGTTTACAATACTATTGGTAAGCTCACTGCTGTTTGTAAATAATAGACTATTAAAAGATTATCCAGATTATTTTTAAATGATTATGCTAATAATCGTGTAGTGAAATTCATAACGTATTGGGAAAACTAGATATTGCAAGGAACACAGAGAGAATTAAAATAAATTTAATGTGAAGTAAAAGCTGACTTTAAAGAACAAAAAAGAATTGAAAAAAATCCTTAAGAATTTCCAGTAAAGTCTTCGACTTCTACGAAGACTTCAGAAACTACTATCTAGAAATTATTTTTAATTTTAACTTTTTTACGGTCGGATAGATAAAAAGTTAATTATTAGAAGTTAAATTTTTTGATCCTTTTGAGTGGACTAAGAAATAACACAAGTTCAAGGTAACAAACAAATTTTTTAAATTTTTTGATCCAAAGTTAAATAACACCACTCCTGAAGTATATCATAAAGAGAAAAATATTAAGGTATTTTACACAAAATAATTGAAAAAAGTATAGAGCCAGTTTCATTCTGGATCAGCAACAATGTTGTTGATTCAGAATAATGCTACAGTTAATGGGTTAACTATCGCTGCGCTGATATTTTATCGGCGCCAAATTCGTCGATTCGCAGTTTTAATATTTTTTTAATAATTTTGTTTACAGAACAATGAAGTTCCTTTGTGTTTTGTTTGGAATTATCGCTTCTGTCGCAGCTCAAGGTTATGACTATCCCATGCATCCTCAGATCGTGATTGACAGGTACTAATACGATATAATAATATATAATTGCAAAATTTTATGTATTGTCAACTGTATTCATTTATAAGCCAGTTCTTATATTTATTTTCAGACCTACTACGGCCAATCGTTTTTAATTTTTTTTTCATCACCGTCTAAAAGCTCACAACTTGACTTCGCTAATCGCATGGGTTTTCGCTGGTGTAGGCTTGTAGGGAGCATTTGCTTCAATCGTTACGCTTGACTATCTGATTGACGGTCGCACGACCAGACGTCTCGCAACTATAACGCTGGTGTCCGTCGCTGATATAGGTATTTTTTGCCTGGCATAAATGAAGTGGTTATACCGCTGTCTTTCTAAAGCTTATATGCCACCTACATAGCTTTTATGACACCCACTGGACAAAATGTGTTGATGGATACTCTTATGCCGCAACTACATGGCCACGACTTCCTATGTACTAATAGATGTCTATTTAACGCTTCCAATTTCTAAGAAAGTATTTTCTCAGACCTATTACGGCCTATGCTCAACTTTAATAGGTGACTATTAAAGCTAACATAGTTTGTATGTCAGCCAACATAATCCATTATAATCTCAGTCGTAAGTCGCATTGCAAAGGGGCCAGGCTGATTATAAGAGTCTTAAACGTAGGAAAGTAAAGGATAGAGTAATGTACTAAAGGTTCGATTATGTTTAAGCTAAAAGAAATATTAATAAGTTTTATATCCTTAGATACCCTGAATGGTATATCCATTCGTCAAATCTTGATCCGCAACAAAGGCATCGCCGTGACGTCACCTTTGATCACAAAACCGATAACGGACGCGTGTTTGGAACTCTCGGGCAGAATGACGCCGGATTGTTTGTAAGTATTTATTTTGTTTTAAAATGCAAAATCTTAATTTCGATTATTTGAAGTAAGCTTATTACTATTACAGTACATAATTTACCTCTTTGTTAAATTTTGTCCCACGCCGTTCAGAAGTTTCGGCGAGTAAAATTATTATCAAACATTCAAGCAAGAAACTTTCACATTTATTATATAATAAGTATTATATAATAAATGTGAAAATTTCTTCTTATTATTATATAAGTAGCATGTAAATAGTATATTTCATTACGAATAGCCTGTCATTGCAAAGAGTTCCGACAAATGTCTACCCGAACCGAGGCGCAGCCGAAGGTGAGAGTTGAGAGTCGGAACAAGTTGCAATAAAGGTTCCGCACGTGTACTGAACAACTATTTTTTAATACAGTTGCGAAAAAATGAAGCATTTTAATAAAATAATAAAAACACAATAAACTCAACTAACTTTAAGTTTTGGGTATTCATTTATATCCACGTTGTTCCTTATTTTCAGCATACTTTTTATCATCGAAAACCTCGACCATAACGTAGGTTTTAATTTTGCTGAGAGTTCGGAGAAGTATGCCAACATAACATTTTCTGAAAAACTATTTGCTTTTTTCTCTTTTCTCCAAGCAATAAATTTATCGTATGTAGATATGTAGCGACTTTTTGACTTTTCCGGTAAAGTGTTCTCCGAAGCGTGTTGTGCAATTATGCTGAGTTCCACTGGTGTTAATTCAAATAAAATATCGTCGAAATTACTCATTTTGTACAACAAACAACTAAACTCGCAAAGAACATTTTTGGTGACGTATTTATGCACTTTAAAAGAGGGTGTTTGTTTTGTTTGCAAATCTTGTTTTTGGTTTTTAAAAAAATGTTTGGCACGCCAACCGACAAGAATATAAGCAGAGATTTTTTTGTTTTCTTCACCCATTCTGGGTAGGCAAATGGAACTATGCCCATAAAGCCAAGTCTTCAGTAATTTTTTTTATTGATGTGAAATGAAAATGAAATTTTATGAGATGAAATGAAATGAAACCTAACCTAACTGATTGAATCAGATCATTAAATTTGATATTGAAACAAATTAGTAGCTTCTTTTTAGAAATGTTTGCATGAATCATTTTTTTAGTAAAAACTTCGTGGTTGGTTTTTTCTTTTTAATAGACATTATTTTGGTAGTTGGGAAAGAGAACGCACGAGTTCGGAAAAGGTAAAGAAAAAGCTCGAGTATGTAATAGCCCACATCCCGAACGCTATACAGCCCTGCAATACTGTATTAAAATATATATTTTATCATCTGTCTCTATGGATTAAACCACTAATAAGCGATTGCTAATTTGGCGTGCTACATTGAGATCTTGCATATTTGCACCACCTAAAAAACTTGCTAGAGCCGTCCTTATCGTTAGGGTATTTCAATAAATTGGAGAACAAATAAATAATTTCTATTATGTTAGTAGAATTTATTTCCATCGTCAAGTTAAGGTGTTACGGGTATTATAAATGCTCTTAACATGTTAGGAATAAACTTTCTACTCCATAAAGTTTGGTGTTTCTAAATTGTTTCCATTGGAGACAACAAAATTGTGATTTTCTTACAAATATATCATTTTCAAAATTTATGAAAGAAAGAAAGAAAGTTTCACCGGTAACACATCAAATAAATAAAAAAGACACTTAAACGTTTGGCAGTTTAAGACTACAAGAGTGATGGAGTGTGTATTGAGCCAGTGAAAAGGTTATGCCTCAGTGTAAACTACAGCGCTGATGATTCTGCCATAATTTCAACTACGCGCACGATCCGCCTGATTGTATTTTTGAAATATATTTTGTATCTATTTTTATAAATCATCAGAGCTTTGTAGTTGCTGTTAGTAATCACTAACCGATATCATTTTCATAATTATAATGATTCTTTAAAGGGTAAAGGTGGCTATGAACATAACTTCTTCGACGATCACCGCGGCAAGTTAGATGGGCAAGTTTACGGAACGCGAGTGCTCGGGCCTTACGGTGACTCAAGTCACCTGGGTGGTGCGCTCAACTGGCAAAATTCTAATGCAGCCGCGTCTCTCGAAGCGAGCAAACAAATTCACGGTCCTGATTCGGTAAGCAACTTGCTTTAGGTGCTTATGATTTACAATTATAATAAAGACATTAATTTGCAACCATCCGCTTAATTAAATACAATGATGTGTCTTACCTAGCTTGAAGAGCACCTCACACCCTCCCTCAATTGCGTGCACTAATTCCGTTACCACTACTCCCAACACCACTACTTCCGGCACCACTACTCCCAATATTTCAGGAAATACACAGCATCGACGACAATACGACACGTGTTACTACTCTACACGAGGCATCTTCAGGTGATGTAGACTCTACGCTCATAAAGCGGTCAGTCGCCATTTTATCTTTATTATAATTGTTATGATGGATTTCTGCAAAGTAACGCCTGATTCTATCAATTAGCTTATGGTTTACTTTTGTTATAGCAGCATACGTGATAGATAGATACTTGCGACATTAGATGGATCGACCAAAATGAAACAATTCCATTTAAATCACATGCACAAGTAAATCTTTTAAAGTTTAACAAATGGCTACTTCAGCAATGTCACGGGAAACTCATAAAAATTAAAAAACTTTGCCGTTGGTCGTCTGAAAATAATCGAAGGAGTAATAGTTACAAAGAAGTTTGGAAAAGTTGCAAAAAACGCAGAACATGTCTGTCAAGTCACTTAGCTTAAAAAATACACACATAGACAGATTAGTACACGCGAAAAAATACGTCATTCTATTTTCATTTTAATCTTTTTAACTGCATTAATCAATGCTCCGTATTGATGATTCAACGTTCTATTTCCTTGAAAGTCCCCGGGGATGTCAAAGCTTTCAATCACTTTCAAGCGTATTTAGACGTCTCAATTCCGTTCAAGCTACTAACTTGAATGCAATGTTGAACCGAAAGTAATACGCGTAATATAGTCTTTACTTAAACTTAGAATAGCATATTGCTGCTCAATGAGGTCTTTCTAACCTTCTTCTTCTTTACCGACCTGTAAAACTGTAGAGAGGTTTTGCTTTAATCGTCACGCTTAGCGTATTGATTATTGCAGTACTGGGTTTCACATTTTGACGTTGCCACTCGTCGCCGGTCTGAGTATTTTACGTGTGACATAAACTACGTGATTCTACAACTATTTATCGAAAAGCATAAGATTTTTCTGGTATTTTCCATAGTCGCATCTTACAACATCTATGTGATAAATTGTGGGAAGGGATTTGCTTACGCCACCACCACACGGCACGTAGTATAACTTGGAAGCAATGATATTTAAATAACATTGCCTAGAATCTGTTAATTTGGACCAAGTAAAACCGCACTCCACATTTTTGCCAGTTCTTTTTTGAAAAGGTTTTAATTTTAGAATTTTTAGTGTAGAGGTGGATTATAATTTCATAAGAGAATAAAAACGTTTATAATTGAAAAATATTTATAAGAATTGTTAACATAAAGGGCCATGAATACAGAGTTTAATTTTGTGTTCGTTTTGTTCTCTGAATTTTTTTAAATTATTTCTTATATTTACGCGAACACTATACATGATTAAAACTACTTTTACGGATTTTATCGCGTTTATTTTTACTTTTTATTTACTTTTAAGCTCACAGGGGACTCCCCTGTGACCATGGGTGCTGGAAAGCGCCCGAAACGTCGGGAATTAAAAATAAAAGTAAATAAAAAGTAAAAATAAACGCGATAAAATCCGTAAAAGTAGTTTTAATCATGATTTTTTTTAAATAATTCCTCATTAAAAATATCGGAGACACGTGAAGAGATGGTAAGTGACAACTGCATTCCATAGACACTTGCAGCCAATTTCAAACAAAGAAGTCTATATATACTTTGTCAGCTCTGAGGACTAAGATGAAATACCTTACAGTGTACAATTATACTGGCTCTCTACCCTATTCAGACTGAAATACAGCACCCCTATTTGGCAGCAAACATAGGTAAAAGAGAGGTTACCCGGACTGTTAGGCAAAAAAGAAGTCTTGCCTCATAAAATTGTTTTTTAATAATACATAATACAACAGAATAATCCTAGAATAATGATAGCTTTCGATTAGATTATTCGAAAGTTGTTGGTGAGGCTGATAATTTGTGAGAACACATTGTTGATAATTATAATTACTGTAGATTGATGTAAGTTTAATTTTAGTTTGTATCCTATTAATTTAATCAATAATTCTTTTTTATAGATAATGGCAGGCGCTGGGGGTAGGTGGCCAGTTGGTAAAAATGGTGACTTCTCACTGGAAGGAACGTATGGGAAGACGTCTGGGTACAAGCCGGAGTATGGTGGCAGAGGCGTGTTTAACTATCGTTGGTGAAAGTGTTAGGAAACCTCTGTTTATGAACTCAAGTGGTAAATTTATTTTAAATGATTAATTAATGTTATCTAGTAAATTAATAAAATTATTTTTCAAAATGTACTCTTGTCTATTTTTTTTTTCTTTAAAACTTCAGTGAATATTTATCTTATTTGTAATACGTTGGCGTTAATCTAATACCGATATTTATGAATTTTTGAAATATATATTTAAAAATGGACAGCAAGAAACAAGTTTATGCATTATTCATAGTTATGACTAAGGCTATCGACTTTGTGGCCTATAATATTTTATTGAGAAAAATTGAGACATAAGTTTTTTGAGGCATCTAGCGGTGCTTGGGGTCACGGGTGCACTAAGACCGAAATAAGTGCTTGTATGGCCTAAATATAATTTTTCTGAGCGTTTGTCTGTTTACTCGGAACTACCCTCATAATCAAACCGAAATGAGAATACATGTTCAATTAATGTACATAATCGTACTGTAGGATATATACTCGTACTTGTATATCGGGCGAGTTGTATCAGTCGCTTCAAGGAGTGGGTTTCTTACAACGATAAATAATGGCAATGTAGCAGGCCTAGACGAAAATTGCGCAGTAACCTAGACGGTTTTTGTGAGAGCTCAACTCAAAAAGAGGAAAAGAATTTTTTATGTTGGGAGACACTATTGAGGTCATTCAGCATAGTGCTTATATCCTCCAGCGATTCTGCCGTAAGGACTATATCGTCGGCAAATCGAAGGTGAGTGATGTATTTGCCATTGATTTTAATATTGTATCCTTTTCTGAACAGTAGCTTCAAAACATGTTCCATTGCAGCGGTGAAGATTTTCGGAGATATAACGTCACCCTGTCTTACACCATTCTGCATTTGAATAGGTTCGTACTCTGATTCTGTACTCGGATAGCCATCGTAGCCCTACTGTACAAACACTTCAGCACACTAGTTTACCGACAGTCAACTTGAATATACCGACAGTCAACTGAAGTGACTGTAGCATCGCCAATTTCGACGGAATGGAAGGCTTTCTCATAGTCCACATACGCCAGTAATGGATTATAATCTTCGGTCTTCCGTACAATCTGCCGCAGGGTACACATGTGGTATTGAAGCCTTTTCGGAAACCGGTTTGATCAGGAGGCTGGGAGTCGTCGAGTCTGCGTGCGATACGATTCATAATGACTCTCGAAAACAGCATGTAGATGCGACTCGATGAGAGGGAAATCGGTCTGTAGTTTTTCAAGAGAGCGTTGTGGCCAATCTTGAAGAACAAGACACAATATAATATATATACATATTACATTTATTTCGAATTAAAAGTAAAAACTTATTCCCTGTCGCACCCTCTCTGTGACAGTTTTTGGCTAGTGAGAGGAATCCGTGTGAGTGTGCAGAGTGTGTGTAGAGACGGCACTGGTGTAGGGGAATCTATCCTTTATTATCCCTTCGGTGTAATAAGAGGTCAGAGAGAAACTAAAACAGGAGGTGGACAGCAAGATCTTCCTGATAATAAACTAACAATTATTACCTTGTAAAAGCCATCTTCGGAGAAGACCTTCAATGTGCGTTCACTCTTACTTAAGCCGACTTCAAATATAGGAGAAAGTTTACAACTCGATTGTATGTTAATTTGTATATATGTTACTCAAATTTTTTATTAACCTATTGAAAAGCAAGAAAGAAAGAAAGAAAGCGTAATGCCGGCTATACATGTTGTGTTGGCCTAGCGAAGGCGAGTACCAACGTATAGACATTAGACACCCCATTGGTCTAGCCTCGCCTTTACTCGTCAACGCTCGCCTAGCTGGCCGAATCCAGGCGAGCGCCAACTCGAGACCGCTCGTTACCGCTCGTTCATTTCGGAACGGTGTCGGTTTTTCTGCACAAATCAAAGGCGCTCGGCAAGTCGTGTCCACATGTTGACGGCCATGTCAGGCGTCCGTCGCGGTGATATATTGTTTAATTAAATTGCAACTTTAAAATCCTACATAAAAAGTACTCTGTGTTTAAATAATGTCACTCTGTATTAACGAGGACACCTTTAAGTTTTTGGAAATATACAAAAATGAACCCGTTATTTGGAACCCCAAAGACTTTACTACGGAGTACACTGATATAATAATTATATGCACTCATTAAATAAATTGCAGATGCGGCAATAATTTCTACGTCGTCCATATTGTCCCAATTCTCAATGACAACTAATTACGGCCAACATGTAGATAGCTCCACAAAAACTCGTGAACATTGGCCTTGGAATTGGTCTCTTTCGAACTTGACCAACGTGTAGACTGTAGCACTCGCCTTGTATCAATTTGCCTACGCTCGCGTTGGCTGAGGCTGGGCCAACGTGTATTGCCGGCGTAAAATAGTGGCTAAATGCCGCTGAGTTTCGTATGCTGAGCATAGAGAACTGGACACCATTTTTTACTGTAAATGAGGCATTCCATCTTATTCCTTAGTGGTGAAAAAATCCACTTACCATCAGGTGAACCGTATGCTTGCTTGTCAAAATTATTCATTTCAACATATTTCGTATTTAAGCATAAGGTTTCATTGGAGAGTGTTCGGCGGGCGTTTAATGAAGCAGAATGTATTGTTCAAGCGTACTGTTTGAACGGTTGCCGCATCGAATACTGAAAGGTCCATCAAGAGTGTGTTAATATGAACTTCGAAAGTCCTCTTAAGAAAAAATAGTTTTATAATATATTAAACCATAAAGAAATATGTTCCAATTGTTTTAAATACGTTGTTGCGGCGTTCGAAATCCGTCAAAAATATTATAATGCACTTGAGGACAATACCAAATTACACAGGCCTTAAAACAAATGTTTTTTTAATTAATAATGATGGCTCCGACCAGCTGATCCTCAAACTTGAAACCTCCCTAAGTAGTAGCCCGGTATTCTCAGTATAAAATAGCGGATGTAAACCTAAATCAACTCATTAAAGCCTGGAACGAACCGTTGTCAAAGAGACTTCTAAACTTAATAAGGACAGCTTCCAAATTAATCAGACGAGTAAGAAGAACGAGTTGAATAGAAAATTTTAATTACTTATCTACGTAGGCAATTGAAATTTGAAGTCAGAAAAGTAATGAGGGAGTTTACTTAAATACTTTTAAGTTAGGTATGGACTTACAGACATTTTGATTTGCCGATTCGTTATACTATACTGTAATAAGATTAAGGTTTTAGATGAGCTATTACCATCCTTACTGTCATTAGCATAGGCCGAGCATGCGAATTAAATTTCAAAATTCGGAAGAAAAAGATAACAACAAAGTTCCATTAAACAGTTGTAACTAGGGTGTGTTTCGGTCGGAAGTGTATAAAGAGCCAGTAACGCTTTCAGCGATCTTGGTTTTCGGAGATGACATCTGTAGCCTTTTTGTTTAAGGTTAGTTACAGGTGTCCAATAAGTATTGTATTATATATCTAATCTAAAGGTTATCGTTCCACTACATTTCACCGGTTTTGTTGGCGAGACATTTACTGTTTAGGCTGCACTTCTTTGGAACTTCTTTGAAATTTACGGATAATGAAAGGTGTGAAATGGCAGGTACTACGTTTTCATCACACCTTGGGTCGACTGGCAGATAATGCCAACTGGCATCGGTCCTATATTATAATGGTGATCACAATAAAAACTTAAAATGAATAAATATTAAAGTAATAAAAGTTTCTATAATAGAATAGCAAATAGAATATAATTATGAAGCTACAGTTCAAAGGTTAATCAATTGACCTGATCCCATGTATTATTAAGTAACATAATTAAAGGGGAGCCCGGTTCACCGATAGCTATGAATAGTATCTTTGGTTATTTATTGTTGGGCAACCTCGAATTCGAATCGAATACCTCACCTCCCATCCAGGTCTGTTTTAGCTCATTCTCCGATGACATTGACCTCCGTAGGTTCTGGGAGTTAGAATCTTTACAGAAGGAAGAGAAAACCTTCACTCCTGAGGAAAGTTTATGTGAGTCTATATTTACACATACACATACTCGTGACGAAACAGGTCGTTACGTGGTTGCTCTGCCGTTTAAACCCGATGCACCACCTCTTGGTGAGTCGCGGGATATTTCGCGTTCTAGACTTTTAAAACTTGAAGCTCGATTAGAGCGAAACCCGTCCCTTAAGGGCGAGTATCACTCGTGCCTTCAAGAGTATATGGATCTCAACCACATGGAGCTGGTTGATAGTCCTCCCAATGATGGGACAACCTATTACATTCCCCACCATTGCGTTGTTAAAGAAGCTAGTGAGACGACCGTAAGACTCGCGTAGTCTTTGATGCTGGGTGTAAAAGTTCAAAAGGCATTTCCCTCAACGACATTCTTTTAACGGGTCCTAAGATGCATAAGGATATTATTGACGTTGTTTTAAAATTTCGTACACATTGTATCGCGCTTACAGCCGATATAAAACAAATGTATCGGAACATTTTGGTTCAAGAGTCTGATAGGGACTACCAGCGCATTCTGTGGCGCACTTCACCACATAATTTATTACGTGAATATCGTCTTCGTACCTGACGTTCGGGATTAGCTCTTCTCCCTACCTAGCTCTTCGGGTTATAAAACAGCTCGCTCTTGATGAGGCTGAACAACTTCCTCGAGCTTCTCGGGTACTTCGAGACCAGGTCTTTGTCGACGATATTCTTAGTGGCGCAAATGACCAGGCTGAGGGTCTTGTCCTTCAACAAGAGCTGATAGGTATTTGTCAATCAGCAGGCTTCGAACTCCGAAAATGGCACAGTAATTCGCCCGCGATACGCGCGGCGGTACAATCACCAATTTCTCAAGGTGAGCGCGAACTGATTCCGGTTGCACCCATGGAAAGGGATACGAAAACGAAGGTCTTGGGTCTCCAGTGGGACCCACAGTCTGATCAGTTTAGTTTTAGTGTTTCCGTTTCTATACAAAATATGACTAAAAGAGCTATTCTCTCACAGATTGCAAGGATCTACGTTCCTTTGGGATGGCTATCCCCG